CACAGCAATGTAAACAGCCAATCTGCAGTAAGTCTCCATGTCAAATGAAGAGACTATCCTTTTTGTATACGGGACCTGAAGTCTCGGAACAGAATATAGAAGAGTCTGGTCTGGTTTCAGGCAAAACACTGATTTTTCCTTCTTGACGTTCAATTATAACTGTCAGCTAGTCTGGAGTAAAGCAAATCCTGTTCTTTCAATGTGTTCTCAGTTGGCAGACAGCATTTTTACAGCATAGGACATAAGCGGGTGTCTAGCCAGTACTACACTAAGTTTAGTTAATGGCTAATCTGGCATTTGTTCAGCTCTGTATTTCAAATGGTAAGACAGAGAAGGCTCATTATTAAAAAAAAAAAAAAGATTAAGCTCTATCTTCACCACCGCACTTATGTGGTTGATGAAAATGATGATAGCATATCAGAAGTCTCAGCATCCTAGTGAAAGCTAGCATGTAAATATTTATGTATTATGCAAGATAGCCAAGCACTGGTTGCCTGTCTTGTTCCATATTTCTGAAACACAACAGAAACTGAGTTCAGTTAAGAACAAGCTACAAAGCTTTACATCACAGAATTTTAAACTATTTAAAACCGCTATTAATAAGAACCTGTACCTGCAAGATACTAGATGTTTCCAAGGTCTGAGTAACTTCAGTTATTCTGGAATAAAATGTACTCAGTGCTACTTAGAAGGACCTGGCTTCTTGCCAGATTGTGTAGGAAACTATATATGTAGTTTTAAAACTCAGAAATAAACCATAGCTTGAGTTCTCAATAAAGAGTGGGAAGAAAACATTTGTTTCGCTTTTCTGGAAATATGAAAATCAGAAGATTATGAATAGTATGCGTGTTGGACACACGCGCACACACGCGCGCCACCAGAGCTGACAGTTCTCTGTCCAAATTGGGAGCAACTGAAAAGCATTTCTATCTGAGGACAATACAAGGGCCTGTCTAAATAAGCTTAGTGGTATCAAGCAAGTTCATACTGTTGCAAGCCTACCAGCACAAGTGATGCTCGCTGGCAACTGTATCAACAACCCCAGGTAGGTGTGCCAAGTATAGAATTGGCAGTGAAGAATTCACTGTTCTCCTCTCCCTAATGATGGTCACCAGCAGCAGAGCTGAAGCAAACTGGCAAGACTGCTAGTGCAATAGCCAGACCCGTTGCCTGTGCTGTAGCATCTCTGTGGAGAGGTAAGACTCCTGTCTCCAGGGCTCTTGGATTTCATAAGCATTACAGTCAACATACAAACTGAGACTTGACAACCCAATTTACGCTGTCAAATGCTTTACACTACCCAGAGGGATTCTTTACGCACCTACAGAGGCCAATAAACAGGCTAATCATCTCACAAATTGATTATTACACAGTCAAGACCAGGACAGGATATACTTCAGGATGTAATAAGAAACAAAGATTAAGGTATGTTCTTCCCCAGTGTCAGTACTATCAGTACAAAGCAACACACCCTACCATACCATCTCAACCGCAATTCACAGGGCTGCTGGGGTTGATGGTGCTTAGCACAGAGACATCTCAGGCTGGGGCAGGTACTCGCTGTGAAAAGACACAGCAGCAGAATTCCCTGTACCAGAGACCAGGATCAACCATCTTTCAATCACTTGGATCATATGTCTTCAAAAACAATGTCTGCAGAATAGCTGAGCAAAATCCCTTCCTATTAAAAACAATCAATCACTAAGAATTACTCCACTTAGAAACAGTAGCCTAAAATAAAACAAGTGCAGAGATCTGGACCGATATGGTGCCATTCTTCGAACTTGCTACCCGTGGCAATACCACATGTGGCTTTCTTAAAGTACAGATTGGTAACACACAGACAGAAATTACAACATAACATAAGGCTGTAAAACTTCTGACCAATTTCCCCTCAGGCATTTCTCTTTAGGACTGGAGACATAGCTTGTATATATGCCTACTATTCTTCTATCTGGTTGAAATGAATTAAAAACAAAACAAAACAAAACAAAAAGTAAGGACAAAAGCCATACAAATCTTACCAAAAAAGTTGATTACAGGACTGAAAAAAATGCGAGAGGAACAAATACAGAACCACAGAAAAATTTATCTTGGAAGAGATCTCTAGCCCAATGCCCTGCTGAAAGCAAGACTAACTTCAAAGTTCAAAGAGGCTGCCTTGTCCAATTTAGTTTTAAAAATCACCAAGAACAGAGATTCCACATCCTCTCTGGACAAGACAGTGCTTACAACTCCCACTGCGAAAATGTTTTTCCTTATACCCAAACTTCCCTTGTTGCTACTTAGGACCACTGCCTCATCCTTTCTCTATGCAACCCAGAGAAATGGCCGGCTCTGTCTTCTCTCTAACTCCATATGTAATTGAGAGAAGAACTTGAGAGAAGTTGCCTTCTGTTTTTTAGCCTTCAAGGCTCAACAAACCCAGCTCCCCAGGCTTCTCCAGGTGTGTCAAATACTCTTGCACCCTAAACATTTTAGTTTGGTGTTGTGCTGGACTCTCTCCTGTTTGTAAATACCCCTCTTATACTGGGAGAGGCTCAAAACTGGACAAAATAATCCAGGTGTAACCTCATAGGTGCCCAGTCGAGGTAAACAATCAGTTCCCTTCATGTGTTGGCTATGCTCTTACTATATGCAGCCCTGTATGTGATCAACCATCATCACCAAAAGAGTGCACTGCTGATTCTTTTCAAACTCGTTAAAAAAGCCTTTTCTACAGAGCTCCAGGGCCTTTTCTGCAGAGCTTCTCCCCAGCCTGCCAGCTCCATCCTGTACCAACGCACAGTTACTCTGTTCCAGGAGCAGGACTTCGCATTTGCCTTTGCTGACCTTCATGAAGTTCAATTTATCCCATTCCTTCAAGTTGTTGAGATCCCTCTGAAAAACAGTCGTGCTCTCCAGCATATTAACTGACAATGACAGCTTGGAGTCACTTTTGACCTGGATGAGGGTGCATCCCATGCCACCACCCACATCACTGACGAACACGTTCAACAGTATCAGGCTCAGCTTTAGACCCTGAGAACTGTCGTTCATAAACAGCTGCCATTCGCTTTCAAATCATTGACCCTTTGAGTCCCACCAAACCAGACAGTTTTTCACTCACTTTGTAGTCCACCAATAATACCTTCCCTAACAGGATCTCGTTTCCCATATCTACTACCTATCTGCTAGTTTTTCCTACAAATAAATTATGGAGGTCCAAATTGAAAGCAAGATAAATGATAGTAATTGCTTTATTTTCATCCACAGAGCCAGTTATTTAATCATAGAGGCAGACAGGTTGGTCAAGTATGATTTGCCCTTATAAAATACATGCTGGTTGCTCTCAAATACAAGCATCAGCTTCCTTTTCCAGGCAAGCTTTATCCTTCCCAATTTCATCCCTGCATGCCCAGGCAGTGTTTCTATATTGATCCTTAGCAGTCTGTCCCCGCTTCTACCTCCCATACCTCTCCTTTCTCAGTATGAGCTCAAGCAGCAATTCTCTGTTCAGTCAAACTTGCCTCCTGCTATGCCTCCTTGTTTTCTTGCACACTGGGATAGACTGTTCTTGTGCTCTGAGGCAGCTGTCCTTGGAGATCAACTAGCTCTCCTGCACTCCTTTTCCCTTCAGGTCAGCGTCACACAGGGTCCTAACTGCCAGTTTCCTGAACAAGTCAAAGTCCACTCTCCTGAATTTCAGCATTTTCATTTTGCCATTTGTCTTCCCTACTTCCTTCAGGATCTTTACCTCTATCTTCCTGTGGCTAATGTAACCAAGGCTGCCACTATCGCATCCCCAACCGGTTGCTCTTTATTCATCCATAGGAAATCTAGCAGAACACCTCCCCTAGTCATCTACCCCCGTACCTACATCAAAAGATTGTCTCCAAAACATTCCCAAAATCTCCTGGATTGCTTGCGCCATTGTGTTGCCCTGGCTGGTTGAAGTGTTTTTCAAATAAATATTTTAAACTCGCTTCCCTTCCATATGTTTTTAATCTCACATTAGTCACTGTCCTTCAGCACAGAGATAACTACCAGCAAGTGATAAAAATGACTCAAAATCTCTTATGTCACTGGAACAATTTTTAGCCTGACCAATCGATCAAGTAAATTGTTATTCTTTACCCTACTGCATAGACCAGAAATACTATCATGTGACCCAGGTGGCTGACCACAAGATATTATCAGCCAGAGACCAAACGCACAACGCAACATCTTGTGGACTACACACAAGTTGAATATGTTGTCAAATTCCTGCAAATGCATAAGATGAAAAAGAGGACTGGCTTGTAAGCGATTCACTAGCAGAAATAATTTCAGCAAATAATTTAAGCAGTTCTACTCTCCACTTCATAGGAATAACCTCCAACTTGCCTATTTCCCAGATCATTTCAGTTCGTAAGATTTTATTTAATGAAATAACATCAGATAAAACAAAGGGGTACTATCCTAGACTAGAAAAAAGTCTGTAACACATCAAAACCTATTTATTGCACATGGCCTTATGACGAAAAAGTTGGCCAAATAAATACCCTGTTGTTCAAACAGGAGAAACTGCTGGCAGCTTGATTTAAAAACAAAACAAAACAACATAACAAACAAAAAAACCCCACAAAGAGATAAATCTATGCCTGTTTATGGTTCGGGACTGCTGGAATTCTGAGCCTGATTCTGTGCTTTACTCCTTTCACCCTGTTCCACCAGCATAAAGGGACTGTGATTCAGGTGGATCTATTTGTTAGGGAGTCCTGCTTCTTTGAGGCCCTATTAGGGCCCCCAAACCAGTTTGGAAGGTGATGTACGATGATAACATAACTGGTATTTGACAGACTAACAGAAAAGGGAAGATGTTCTAAAGCTTTTATAAACAGAGTCGTATCCGTGAGCAGCTACGATCACCCCCACAGAATCATGCTGAGCTCATGAAAGAAAGTGAAGAAAGAAAACCAACACGCACAATCTGTGGTCCAAAAAAATAAAAAGCCATTTATTTAAAGCTCAGTCATTACCTGGTCCAGTGGAACTTCTACACAAGTGTCTTCATCTTCCTGCACTTCAGCTGCTCCCCACATTTCAGATCGCTCCTCTCCAGCTTTGTAAATACCTTCATCTACAATGGGAAAAGATACAGAGTGAAAGGAAGTGAAGTCAAATTGTGACACGGTGTGGTTCAGCTACTGAATTGCACTCAATTTTGTTTCTGAAAGCAGGTTTCAGAGGTGACACACCACTCCCCGTACAATACTTCTAATGAAATTTTCAATCTCCCATTATTCTCAATTTGTTTTCCTTTCCTTTTTTAATTACAAATGCCTATACTCTACATCATTTGGGGAAGGGAAAGGAGATAAACAGAGAAATTGAAGAAATCTCTGAAGTTCTTCCTGTCCCAGGAAAGGTCAGGAGTGAATCTGAACTTAATACATTACAACTGTAACATACCACTACTAGATCTATAGTCAACAACTGTATCCTCTTGTAATCATCACAACAACACTTTCACGACTAGCAAAAATCTGAAGCTCTGAATCAAAAGCAAACACAGTGAAGCAGGACAGGAGTAGACGATGAACAAAGGCAGTTGGGATAAATTACATTCCCCACACTCGGGCATATGCAAGTGGAATTATAGCTGAAACTCCACATCTGCATAAAAAAGCACGTGCTTAGGACTGTCAAGAACAATTTTAGCTAACAAGGTTCATGGTTCAAATGATACTAAATTTTGCAAAGAACTTATACAAACATTTGGTCTGAGTAACTTTTTTTCAAGCGTAAGTGATCTCCAGAGGTCTTGGCAGTTTCTAATACAGATCTTTTGGTATCAACAAACTATGAAAATGAAGACAGGCAGATACAGAAAACAATCAGCTTCCACATGACACACATTCCTCTCTCCCCTTCCCTCCCACCCCCCAACAGAAAGGAGCCCAGAAATTAAAAACATGGAGGTTAGTCCAAATCATCTCCCTCCCTCTCCATCTGTTTAGGAAAGACATACAGTCCTATGCCGTTGTGTTCACATCCGACATAATGAGCAACTACAATAAGAAAGACGAAAATTCATTTGTGCTGTTTTGGACTGCCTTTTAATTCTTCATAAAAGGGTGTGAAGTTGTTAATACTAACTGAACACGCAAATTGATCTGCAATGCTTGATATGGGAATAAAGTTGCCTTGTGAAATAAGCAATCATTCATAGGACCTTTTGGAAGGCAGAAAAACCATGGGTAAGAATAAGTAACAAAAGAGACTTACAGAAATCTTGAGTCTCTCTACATAAAAAGTTACGGTGTTGACTAGACTAAAGGTTCATTTTCCAGTTACTTCTCATCACTGCGAGAACCAAGGAAAGAGTTTATCCTAGAAACAAAGTTCTGAGGGATATCCTACCACTGAAAATGGTTATCCAGAGGGGAAGATGCCAAAGCCACCTAGATGGCCATAAATTTCTACTACTAGGCCACTGACAAAAACACTAGGAAGTGAAAGTCACTTCGCAGTTTGAAATGAAGAGGCAGAAATGTGGAAGCCTGTGGAACTTTACAATTATATTCCTGACTGGCACTGCCAACTGCAGCTCAGGCAAGAGATTTTCTGATGGATGTAGCAATTTAGTAATTGGGAATTGGTCCTGCTGGAAACCATTCCACCAAAAGATCTACAATACTTGTCCTCTGAAAGTGCCCATGTTGAAAAACGCCACAGGATTCTTAGGATCACTGGTTGGATCCTTGTCCTAAACATCTTGATGTGTTTTGAAGAAGATCCTACCTTCATATGTAGCATGGAAAGAGTCATTTTCTTCTCCCATTTCCCTTTTTTTGCTGGACTATTACATACAGCGTGCCTGTTGCTTTATGCCCCACTGGAATCAACTAAAAGACACCTAGTACTTGCTGGCAATACGGTAAACCTTTGACCAATGAATATAGTCTCATTAAGGATCTCACGCTGAGATGGCTTTCTTGACAAATTCAGCAGTAAGAACATGGAATGGTCAACAGTAGCAGCAGAATGCATCTAAAGATGCATCTTGTATTTTCTCAAGTAATCAGTGAACTTGACATTTCTCTTTTTTCAGAGCATATTAACACAAAGACTGCCCCACAATTCTGAAGTTAAACAGAAAAACACATTTGCTTCAACTTCTCCAGAAGATAAGGTTCAGCTCACCTGTCAAGTGAGGTACTCTAAGGAACAGAAGGTTCTGTTTCTCTTACCTGATATTATCATTGCTGCTGCTTATCATAGATAAGAGATTGAGATTTAGACCACAACCATATGCTGAGAGGAAAATGCAAAGTGTTTCTTGAAAACCACCATGATGACTCTCTTAATTCAAGGCCTTCCCTTAAGTAGCTTGAGAAAATAACCTCAGTAGCTTATGCTAGATTCCTTGGCTCGCTGAACTATAAAAAGTCAATCTGCATCTGAGAGAAATGCACTTAATATCATCACTATTCCCTGTAGACTCTGTAATAACATCCTTATCTTCAAGATCCCCAGGTCTTCCAACCAAAACAGGGATTATCTGGCCTTCAGACATAAAAGCACTTCAGTGCAGAGGTAATTTTCCAGGTTCCTCTCAGGCAGGGCAAGAGATGAACATATGCTGGCCCAGGAGGCCAAATCTACAAAATTTATCCCAAGAGTTGAGAATTGCCAGTTGTAAACTACCTTAAAAGGTGAGATGAGCCTCAAGGCTACGCTGAATAATCCAGCAACAGAACTCAACACTAGGAGAGTGGAGTTTTTTTTATAATAAAAATAAATAAAAGTACTTTCACAAATCTTAATCATAAAACCAGGAGTGTGGGAAGAGGGGAGAAGACAATCAATTTCTACCTGGATCATGCAACTGACTTTCCCATTCAAAAGACTGTACCCAATAACCTAGTAACAGGGGGATTTCAATATGCAAAAAATGAACTCCCCATGGCATTTCCCCCAAGCATCTTGTAACAGGAGCGCGCTCAGAAAGCTGGTCATAAATGGGAACAGATCCAGCATTTCTCAAGGATACCGCCCATTTATTGCGTGTCTTGTATGGAAAGCCCTCTAAAGTGAAGTAGCACTTCTGTCCTTCCAAAGAGTAGAAAGATGCTGAAACTAGACGGCAGGCTGCAACGGGAAGGGGTAATGAGCACAAAAGCCCCCAAATACTTCAAGGATAGTGTCTACTGGCAAAGTGGGAAATCATTCCATTTTCAGAACAGCAATGTTCTCTGTAGAAATCAAGTCATTAAGAGAATAACATATTTCAAATGCACATGACAGAAGAGATGGTTAGTTGGCTTCTAAGAGATGCAATAAAAGATTCATTGTTAGAAAAAGAAAATGAAAAATTATTTAAAGAAATAGGAAAATCAACAAGAAAAGGGAAATGAATTATTAACCTCTGTGTAAACATGAAAGCACTGAAGACAAATGCCCAAAACACATGTACCATTAATATTCAAGGAAGGCAGAAAAACGCGTAAGTCTGAAATGTGCCAGAACAGGTAAAGAAAAAATGGTACTATCTGAAAAATGGGAAAGTCATAAGATAACGAACAAATTCAAAATTCCAAAGGAAATGCCAAGGAATGAAGTTAGACTTACATTAGGACAGGTATTCTTCTTGTCTTTTGGTTTCAAAAGTGAAAAGAAACACAAAAGGTGCAAGATGGCATGCAAAATTTAACTTGATTTAAAAGAATATTAAGAAAATAGCTAAAAAAGTAAAAAGTTGCTGCTATTTTAGACAAAAGAAGCATTTAGGATTTTTACATGCTAATTTACAAATATCTGGAGGAAGGCAGCTGAGTGAAAGGCCAATATACTCCTTGTTTATGTGATTCTATGTCAAGATCTTGTCAGCAGGAGTTTGGAGGCCACATTAATCACTATTATCAATGCTGCGAGTGAGCTACTCAGCTGCTCCCGAACTAATGTGTTATGCTGTGTATTTTTTCCAAATATTTTCTAGGTAATATTTCAGAAATGCTTTTTAGTTTAGAAAAAAAAGCACAAAAAAATCTTTATTGATGCAGTATTTCACATCTCTGAATCATTAGTCAATTTCTTCATATGTCTCTAAAGGAGGAAAAAACAACAAAGCATTTTAGAAACCTCAATAAATTACATGAAATAACATTTTTGTAAGTCATCATTCTGTACTGTTATAGGCTTACATCGCAATCTCTACTAAAGTTAGAAATAAGTACTGTACCTTACTGAAAAGGGAATTCTCAGCACTTTCATTAGATGGAACATTTACATCTACCTCAAATGGCTCATAAAATACTGTAGATTAAACATGCTCCTCATACAAGAACAAATATGTAAACATGTACATTCAAACATGAAGGTGGCTACAGACATGGTCATGGCAATGATGGGGCTGAAGAGCTCCAAAAAGAGGTAAGAAAGGAAAATATTAGGCTCCAAGCCTTATAGTCAAACACTTGTCTTCTCCACCCGTTTCCTCCAGGTTAAGTGAAAGATGATGACAGTAAAGGATTTAAGGGCACCGTGAGCTCCAAAATGCCTCCCTACAGCTTTGTTTGCTGGTAAGTATACATTAGAGGATTTATTTCCAGGTAGATTCTCAGTTCTCCATCCCACATTAAGTGCTACTTCAGTCAATAGGCCAAGTGAAATATTACTGAGAGCCTCTTGATCTTATGTGAGGACTTTTTTCCAAGGTGTCCAGACAACTAGAAGAGATGGGAATTCTTCAGATTTTGCCTGTTACCGTATGAAAGCAGTGTGCCTTTAGCTAAAAACTGCCATTGTTTCTTTATACCCTATGCAGAGAGAAATAAGGTCACCTCCGCAAACACAGATGTCATCCCCATTATTTCTGGTTTTTTTTTTTTTTAAAGCAGGGCCACGTTCAGTAGTTCAGGTAAGAGGCAGAATGAGAAGGACTCTCAGATGAGAAAGGAACAGGTCACAGGAGCAAAAGGGAGCTCAAGAGGAGGAGCCAACTGGAAAGAGGGTATACAGAGGATGGAGGATATGCACACAGAGGGAGATGATGAGGTGAGAATAATGTGAGAAGGCACAAAAGGAATGGAATGAGGAACTGTACAGGAGCAAAGAGGAAGACGAGGAAACGCACTG